AGTTTACCTATAAATGTGTTTCTTCCAGCTCTAATAGCCCTCAGGGACTCACTTTATGTGAGTACGGATGTGGAAATCTCGAGTACACTAGCCCTTCAGAGGATCATGTTCTTGGTGAGACGGGTGTCACAATCCTGGTGCCCCCGTGCTCAATCCTCACTTCCTTCTCATTTCCTCTGACCTGACACTTTTTCCTTCCGTTCTCCTTTGTAGTTTTCCTCTTCGGAGGTTGGGGCTCGGATTTCACGAGAAAGGGAAACAACCCTTGTGTCTAGTTTTCCAGTGGCGAGAAAATTGCCCACGTGGTTTGCCGTGCGTGGAGACCCGTGTCGCTGGAAAAGAGGGTCCTGGTAGTTGAAGGGCGAAGTACTGTCCCCAACACACTGCTTTGGTTCTGCTTCATCTAAACGGGAGGCACCTTAGGTATCCTCACGGGTGTCAATCGGCTGGTCACTAGTCCTTGTGTCAGTGGCTTAGAGATAACCTCTCGGGAGTACCTTCTTTCGGGAAAGCCGACCGTGGGGTTTCAGGTTGCGTATAGGTCTGGCTAGCCCTAACACAGGATGCTACGTTGTTGGGCTCCGTGCAAGGTGACCAAATACATCGTAAGCCAGTGCTGTTAAATCATCTCGTACAGTTTCCACACAAACATCAATAATCACGCAGACTCTACCAAATGAAACCCAACAAGAGAAAAGAAAATTCATTTAATACAAAAAAATAGTAATTCAAAGTAACCCTAAAAATGTGAGTTAGAAAATAATTAATAAAAATATAAATCCTAACAATAGCTCTCTTGATGGGTTGTTTTCTGATCCTGCGGATTCAGATAGTATAGAAGAAGAAGAGTGTTTAGAAGTGCCAAGGAACTAAGAAGCAGCACAGAAAGAACAAAAACCATTCATAATGGCCACCCTCGTTCATGGAACTGTCGCGGTTTCCACAGAAATTTGCTCGTTATCAAAGCTATAATCAATGCTTATCATCCTGTATTAACAATACAGGAAACAAATCTGAAACCAGAACAACAGGTAAAATTCGGAGGTTTTCTTTCGTCAGGAAGGATAATCTTGCAGGTGAGCGTGCCAGTGGAGGTGTAGGTCTCCTCATCTCACTGGATTATCCATCAAATGCTCTTTCTTTGACGACATCCCTCCAAGTTGTCGCTATTCAAACAAATTTTGATATTGTTGTTTCAGTCGTTTCTCTGTATTTGCCTCCAAATGAGCACATTGATCAGCAAGATTTAAATGGTCTTATAGAGCAGCTGCCTGAACCCTTTATCATAATAGGAGATTTTAACGGCCATAGTTCGCTCTGGGGTAGTAAAGATACAAATTGCCGAGGAAGACAAATTGAGCGAATGATTGAAGATCATAGTCTTTGTCTCCTGAATAATGGGCAGGATACTTACTTCCATGAGCCTTCAAGGACATTCCACGCTCTTGGTCTTGCCATCTGTTCACCATCTCTGTTGCCATTTTGCACTTTTAGTGTGGGAAATGATCTTTACAACAGAGATCACTATTACATTTTTTTTATCTCTTGCACGAAGAGGAGCAAATCCCATGTCGAGATTCCCTCGGTTTATACTCGATAGGGCAGACTGGGAACTTTTCTCTTCCGTTGCAGAACTCACAGAGGAAATGGTAGAAGATATGCATATCTTCATTATGCGTCATTGATATGCGTCATTGATATGCATATCTAATACTATTATTCAGGCAGCTATGCTTTCCATTCCTAGAACATCAAGAAAAATAAAATATACGAAACCATGGTGGAATCGTGACTGTCATGAAGCACTGAAAAAACACAAAAAAGCATGGGGAATTTTTCGTAGATATCCTACTCTGCGAAACCTCATAGCATTTAAAAGAGCCAAAGCAAATGCACGAAAAGTAAGAAGGCAGAGTCAAAGGAATTTTTGGATTTCATATTGTGGCCTCAATAACATCCTCTACGCCTAGTAAGCGGGTTTGGGAAAAGTTCGAAAAGTATGCGGAATATATAAAGACCACTCGCTTTCGTTTTTGGAAAAAGATGGCCGAGTGATTAGCTCCATAAAAGAAATTGCGAATACTATTGGTGAGACATTTGCTGCCGTTTCTTGCAGCAGAAACTATTCACCTGCATTTCTCTCTATCAAGCAGCACTCTGAAATAAATCCAATCGCATTCAACTCTTCGAAATCTGAGCCTTATAATAGAGACTTGGTTGAACTAAGGAGAGCTTTGTTGTAGACACATAGGTCTTCTCCGAGTTTTGATAGCGTGAATTACGAAATGCTAAAGCATCTGTCCTATACGTCACTGACTGCCCTTCTCACTCTTTACAATAGAGAGTGGAAGGAGCGTTCTTTTCCCAGTGCATGGAGGAGAGCTGTTGTAATTCCTATTGCTAAGCCAGGGAAAGATGCAAGGAATCCCTCAAACTATCGGCCAATTGCCCTTACGAGTCGCGTATGCAAGCTGTTTGAAAAATGGTAAGTCTACTTCTTGGAAAAGAATAATATTATATCGCCTTACCAAAGCGGTTTTCGAAAGGGGAAAACAACAGCAGATAACATGCTTCTTTTAGAGACATCCATTCGAAAAGCTTTTGTAAGAAGTAATCACCTTGTTTCAATTTTCTTTGATATAGAGAAAGCTCATGATGAGGCATGGAGATACGGTATACTTCGTGATCTTCATGATAGTGGCTTGCGTGGCAACCTACCATTTTTCATTCAGAAGTTTTTGGAAACTAGAACTTTTCAAGTAAGGTTTGGCTCTGTTTTGTCAGAAGTTTTGAAACAAGAAGAAGGTGTGCCTCAAGGCTATGTGCTTAGTGTAATCCTGTTCAGCCTAAAAATAAATTCTATTTCTATTCTAGACTGAACTTCGGCTCAGCTGTTTACGGATCCACTCAGTCCTCAGTGTTGTTAAAACTAGATCCTGTTCATCATGAGGCTCTGAGGATTTGTTCTGGAGCCCTCAGGACGTCTCCTGTCCAGAGCCTTTATGTTGACTGTTACGAACCATCACTTTGTTTGAGGCGTGTGGAGTTGTCTCTTTTACAATATTTTAATATATTGTCTCAACCTGACCATCCTTATAAACTGTGTTTATTTGATAACCGCTGTGATCTTTTATTTGAAGCACGTCCATCCTGTGTGCCTTCTTTTCCTATCAGAGTTCGTACTCTCATTGAAAAATTGTCCCTGTCTGATATGTTCCCACAAGCAGTACCGCATTTTGAAATCCCACCTTGGGAAAATGCACAAAACCAGTTTCTCGATATTTTCCACAGTTACGTCAAAACAACTAAATGAGAGCATCTACAGACAAATTTTTGCTCAGCACAGGCATAGTTGCAGCAGTTATGTTTCCATATACACGGATGGATCTAAGTCAACTTGTCATGTTGGGATGTCATTTATAATTGGTGACCACACGGAGGGCAAATGTTTTACACGACGCTTCCTCGGTCTCAACCTCCGAACTGACTGCCATATAATTATGCGCTTTTGTACACCTCAACGCTGCACCATGGAAAATTCATTATAATACTTACATCTTACAGTGCATTGAAAGCTTTAGAATCCTTTTTTAGCACCGAGAATCCTGTGATAGTAGATGTACTCAAGTTGAATATTAAATTAACAAGTTGTGGATATGAAATTGTGTACTGCTTGGTCCCCGGAAATATAGGGAATAAAAGGCAATGAGCTGCCGGACATCACAGCGAAATCTGCTGTTGAAATGTCCGGCCGCTTCATCCGTTTTAGAGATATCTGTTGTGTTATCAAAGAGAAGATCAGAAAAATATAGCAGCAACTTTGGCACATTCAACTTCATAACAAGTTGAGAATGGTGAAGCCTAAAATAGAGCATTGTGATACTACTAGCAATCGTAAGGAGGAAGTTCTTTTGACTCGACTAAGAACAAGTCACACTAGAGCGACACATAGCTATCTACTAAAAGCTCAGAATGAACATGCTTGTCCAAATTGTACTGTTTGTCTGTCAGTTTATTACAGTTTAATTGAATGTCCATATTATAATAGTCTTCGTGAGAAGTACTTTAATAGCTGCGACATTCCTCTCGACCGTTTAATTGGAAGAGAGATCAATCCCAATTTGTTTCACTACCTGAAAGGAACAGGTTTCTATTACTTAATTTGATTTTTGTCTTGAGATTTTATGTTAGAATTTTAATGAATCAGATGTTTTAGGATTTTATATCTATATTGCATATCTCATTATCTGAATCATAATCAGCATTTTCATCTCACGCGCATATGATCTTTAGAGTCTTTGCGCCAGTAATCTACTACCACCACCATCCAGCTCTAATATGAATGGGAGACTTTTTAGGCTCAACATTTATTCAACAATTGCATTCAGAGGCCTGTTTCGCTTACGTAACCGTAAGATTTTACGATTCTGGGGAAAGAGTTTCCCTGAAAACTCTGATATTCATAGGTTAGACAGGAACGAATCAGAGAAAGGTTCATCTTCTGTATACTATATTCCTGGATAAAATCCCTTCGTACACCTGGGAGAAACATATCTTTCAGAAGCATTTCTTTTAAGCTTCGTGTTAATAGGTCTGATAAGGGCTTAAATATTCGATTTTGATCCCATTGTGTTGCAAATTTGAGTTAGGATATTACTGTAAGCACATTTAGCAACAACAACAAAAAAAAAAAAAAAAAAAAAAAAAAAAAAAAAAAAAGGAGAGCAACTATTATTGTAATTAGAGATCTCTTCTTTTTAATACGTTATCATTTTAGTTTTGTAATGGCCACGAGTTGTGGCTGGTAAAGCATATTTTAAGTTTTACCTTTGTCTTGTGTTTAATGTTAAGCTGTACCGCAAGCGATAAGTAATCAAGCATTGCATATAATTCTTATTGACAGCTATTAAATAATAGGCAGGACAAGTTACTTTAGATCTCAGAAGTTAAATGCTCTCGTCCATGTCTCACCTAAATACCGAAGAAAATACTCACAAACATTTAGATAACGAATAGTTTAATGAAAGCATGAAAAAATATCTACATATAGAATGTGCATTAATTTAAATGTGAGAAATTGCCTCGAAACCATAAATCACATCAAATACATTCTCTTTATAACAGCACAAAAGGGTAAGTCCTTTAAAAAAAGCACGATTTTTTCCAGTCGAGAAAACAAGCTTTCACTGTTCAAATCTGTTTCAATTGATGAATACAATACTTTCCAGTTTTACATTAAGTACCATAATCAGAATCGTAATGGTCAGAAGTTGGGCAGTATTCAAGAATAAATCACATGGTTTAGAAAACAAATTATTATCGATAGTAAGGATGTTTTGAAACTGTTAATTGTAAGAAAAATTCAAGAGGAAACGAAATATGTTTCTGAAATCGTGCTTTTCTAAACTTTCTCGAAGCCTTGCTTGAAATTAGCAAGAAAAAACACGATTGCAATAATAATACTATCTCCAATAATAATACTCTTTGGTACACAATATCTTTCATAAATATATAAATTTACATCCACGATTAATTATTCCGGATAGGAAATGAAAGTAATGCAGCTGTAACTGTGAAGATATTTTGAGTTTCTCGAATTGCATTTTCTGTCTAAAATTGAAGGCACATTGTAATGAAGCACCTTGATATAAAAAATTTGTGGTTATTAGCCAAAGAGGTAATTGTATTTATTACTCAGTGAGGTTTCCTAAAACTGTTTGCATACTTTAAATAATTCATATAACATGTAAGAAATTTGAAAAAAATTGTTTATATTTTATACCTTATGTCTAGCTAATAAATTGATTATTTTGTATTTAAATCAATTAAAAAAAGTTTGCGTTTCGATCCCAACCACTGAGCATTAGCTTGTCCATATAACATTCGACAACATATCCATTAGGCTATATATCATTTGATGGAGATTTATTTCCCTTGTCGATGACTGGGCTATCTTATCCGCAGTATGACAGGAGTTCTTGGATGGTACACGCTTTTCTGCAACATTCATCCACAATACCTCTGGTATTTCTAGGTACATTACTGATGCTGAAAAAGTCCAGTGCTGTCTGTGGCCTCACGAATGCATCGGGTTCAGAGAAGGAATTTTCCCAACTGGGAATACTATCTGAAAGTATGAGAAACTATTAAGCATTCAGGTTAACAAAATAAGTTTTTTTTTTGAAATTTTTATCTGGAAGCAGGATTTATTTAAGCAGAATTTACCAGTAATTTTGAAGTAGTTGGCTACAAGCGAAACATCGCAGAAAAAACCGACGTGGAGAAACCAACACAAGAGGAAATCATTGTTCTACAAAAAATCGCTGGAGAAAAGGAAGCAAGAAGAAAACATCGCCCTTCTTAAACATCGAGACATAAAACATCGTCTTAGGAAATTAAGGAATTTTAATAAAACGTTGTCATATAATATATTGTGCGAAGAATTAAAGCACCTATAAATTATCGCATGATATTAACATCGCAAATAATTTGATAATTAATTAAATAATTTTAATATAACTATTTTCATGCATTATTACTCTTTCTTTTTCTGATCTTTTTTTAATATTATATTTTTCACGGAAAATATTAATACCAACTTTATAAAGGAGCTTAATGAACTCATGACCTTTAGTAGTTAATCACGTAAATTTAAAATTATGTTAACTGCTATGCGTACCTTTAATTTCTATATATTTTTTGGTTTTGAAAGCTTATGTTCCTCCTTGTTTTTTCAATAAAAAATTATTATATTGTTAAAAAGTAGGAAATATAGAGGTAAAGTTATTTCACATTTCTTCTTGCGCTTATAGATTATTATGAGAACATGCATCAAAATTTTAAAGACTAGAAGCACGTGTTTGGAATGTTACCATCAAGCGAGGTTTTCTACCTGTTTTATTTTAGAAAGCCATGTTTTGTGCGGCAATGTTTAATGTTTTGAACCAACTTATTTTCTACCACGATATCTTATACTGCTATGTTTTAGAATTGCGGTGTTTTCTCCTTGCTTTCTTTCTTCACATGACGTTTTCTATACGCGTTGTTTTCTCTACGATGACTTCTTCATGTATGTTTCCAACGGAAACTAAGTAAATTAAGTAAATCTAATTTTTGAAATGCTTTGCGGAAACAATTTTATCTAACCTAAAATACTTTTTAAATTCCTGCTATTAGCTCACACTCTTCCTATCTCTTGTTCAAATTTTCAGTCGTTTATAAAATACTTTTTATTCATCCACTCAAGTTCAAATAAATATTTTCAAACTTGTAGTGGATGTCACTTGATGTAATACGGTTCTTTTTCACACATTAAATCAATTCTTACTTATATTACACGTTTATTGGAATTAAAGATACGATGTTTTTATTAAATATAGGTATTATAAGACTTACAAATAATGACCGTTTATTAGGTATTCTCACTTGTTGTAAAAATCTATTTTATAACAATTTATAAACAATAGTTCATGTGTGTGATAAATGGGATTGTAATATTTAAAAAAATAAGTGGCAACAGTAAGATAGAGTTCTAAAGTAAGTTCTGCAGTGTATGGAATTAAAGAATTGTAATTTTATAGAGTTGGATTGAAGGTGATGTAATGTCCCATCATGTAGCGAAAATTCTCCCCATATTTCTATGTTAACGTTATAATAATATATGCTTAAAATGTAATCCCTTTAAAATATCCCTTCCTCATTAAAATAAATAAATAACACTGTAGATTATACAGTAAGGTGAAGCATAGGTCACTTTGAGTTGTGTGAAATCATTAGATGGAATATTGATTGAAGAACTGGACTGCTTGAAACTCACTGGAAAGGTTCCTTGCAATAATGAGGCATTGCAAGAGATGGATAGAATGAGAAATTATAGAACTCCATCAGCTTCATAAATTAGAAACGAAAAATGTTAATAATGTTACTAAAAGTAACTACAAATAAAATTTTTCTTTGTTGACCTAAGTAGGAATCGATTTGAAATTATTATTTTTTCTTTAGTATTACTTATTTGTTACAAACTTCTTCCGATGTAAGTTACATAAAAATGACTTTTATGCAAAATTATTTTCTTTCAAAATACAAGCTGCTACATTTATTAGAAAAATTGGCCTCCTTTCTACCAACATAATACGCTTAATTAGATAGATTCATGATTGCTTTTTAGAATGGTTTGTAAATAGAAAATACAGTTTACCTCCTGAATATACATAGTTTCGCTTCGGCGGATCGGGATAAATGTGACTGCAGACTACACCTAGGGCCTCGACCAACCTGCTTCCGCACAACCTTATGCTGCCTCTCTTTTGTATATTATGTTGATTTGGATATGAGTTTACCAGCATCACAGTGCAAGCCAAGGCTGCCCAGAGGAATGAGTACTGAAACGAAATTAAACTTATTAATAATCATTCGTTCATTTATAAAAACTATTTGACGTCAGTATTCATATTACGCAAGTCCAAGTTTTCCTACCTTCAGCCTTTTGCATGTGACAGCAAAAACTAACTTTTAAGGGAATTGTGCGTTCTGTGATAGGTATGTTTAGTGGGTGACTTATGTCATATTTAGAATTCATAAAGTATAATGAAGGAACTACAATACTATGTTTTGCGAATTATACATCAAAACAGCCACAGTGAAACATTTATGGTGAATTTACAACTGTCCAAATGGTTTTGCAGCTTTCTTCAGTGGTATGAATATTTGCTATGGATTGTTTTACCTCATTGGTAGAATGTTTGTTACCTTTCAGCATTTTTACATAAAGGTGTAATTGAAAAATTCTTGAATTTGTTGCGACAGAATAATTATAGTGTTCTGCCTGCGCTTTGTATTAAACTCGGCCACTACGAAAAGGTTAACAAATATGGCTGGTTAGCTTAAGCGACAAAGAGCATAAAAAGCATAAAAGCATTCCGCAATGCAAAGAGAGAATTTTTGAATGAAAATTGATCTCTTAAATTATTGTTATTAAAATAAAAATTATTTAACAAACAACACATTACACAGAATTCAATAATTCATTAATTACGTATTCGCAGAATTAAAAGTTTTCAATTACTTAACATAGATACAAATCAAAATTTTTCTCAGACCTCCAAAACTTACTTTTATTATGTTCTGGAAGGTTTGAGGACACTTTTGAAGAAATTCTAAAGGAATTAACTGAAAGTTCTCTTTAATTTTTTGTTATTAATTATTTAAGTATATTTAAGCATTAAAATACTTATTATTAGAATCTCTCTCTCTGTATATGTATTTCTGGCTGTGGCAAGAAATTTGTATCGAGAACTGAAAAATAGGTTAGGTTAGGTTATTTGAGTAGGGCGAAACACAAAAAGAATATCTGCCTAAGCAGAGGGAATTCGCGAAGGACATTTTAAGAGAAAGTGCCTCATATTCACATTAGGCATTGGCAAAGAACCGGAACCAGCCATGCAGTCAACGGTTTTGTTTAGGTTAAAACTTAGGACGAACTACCAGTACGCAGTGTTCTTAGCATACCGTTGTACTGCCAGTAAGAATTAGCAATTTCTACTGCTGTTGTTTACTGTGAGTTTTAGAAAAAGCAATAATTTCATCGTAGCTAACAGGATACAGGCGTAAGACTAGAATTTTAGTCTTAAAGAAGTCAATTTTTAAAGAATTATTCCATACCCACGTGCGTGCCTTCGTAGTGTAAGTGGTAGCACGTCAAGTTTACAATAGGAAAATTCAGAGTTGGAGTCCCGGCTTGGACATAGCTGAAGTTTTAGGTCTCCAACTCCAAGGGGGAAGGAACTATCAGTTGTGCAGTGCCGTACCACTAAAATATGGCAAATGACAGTTCGTCCCTACTTGTATTTTGATTAACTGGATTTCTTCCCTTTTCCCAGTCAGCCTTTAAGTGAGAAAGAGCATAAGGAGTTTATTGCATTTCTCTATGAGTGCTTTGTGGTATACGTGGTAGTATAGACGGGTAGTAAGCAAAAGATCTGCTATTTTTACCTGTCCGAAGGGAAAGAAGGCACTGAAAACTCTTTAAATTCTAATCATCGTTATCCTTTTTCGTTTACATATTGAAAAATTATTTTACATAATTGTGTTATGTTGATGGACATTTTCTCCCTTTTGTTCCTTTCACCTGTGCTTTCGCTTTTTATATTTTGTCTAGGAAAATATTTCATCATACTTTCCCACTTATTTAAGCATTAAAATGCCTTGATATATGATATTATCAATAATGAAAAGCACATTACCTTTTATCAAGCCGAAATAAACGGGTAAGTGAAACTGAATGCAATGACTCTAATTTCTCTTAAGCTGTTTTTCTACTTTTGTCTCTTACCGAAAACAGATATTTGCATAGATTAAAAAAGTTGTAGAAACATTAGGTTATTTCGAAACAGGACAGATGAAAAATGAGAAATGGACTTGCCGAAACTCGAACCACGGACCTCTCGAATACGCGTCGAGGGTGCTAACCACTACACCAAGAAGGCATGCTAAGAAGTCGGAAGAAATACCTTATAAAGTGAATCCTTATTTTTCGGAGGAAGTTATTGATACCGTTTAAATAAAAACATCTATCTCTGCGTCAAAGAGTTGCTGATAAGATGATGAATGTTAAAAGGTAACTGATTTAGTTTACTACAGTTTGTGAGTACTGCAGGAATACTTTTCCCATAGTTATTATTCGGACCCAGAGTACTCGTTATACACGTAAATATTCCAACCGTTTACGGAATTTAACCCGCTCTTTATTATTGCCGTATTGTCTTTGCTGTTGACTTCAAGTAACTAGTTTCCAGTATATTTTTACAATGTGCTGACAATTGCATTTTATAGCGTTCTTGAGTTTATGCAGTATAGATATTGAGAAACTTAAGCAATACCAAACCAAACGAAAACAAAAATAACAATTATGAGAAAAGCTCTAAAGTTATAAATAGAATTTGAAACTTAAATTTCATTGAATCTTCATAATTTCAAATATTTATGGAATATTTCAAAATTAAAAAATAAATTTCATTAAAATGAATAATGAAGTTTTCGAAAGTCAGCTTCTTTTTTGAAATAATTGTTTTTTTTTAAATGAGAAAATAGACTATTATATCTCATCCTCATTCTTTTTAGTTCGGATCAACCTTAATTTTGTGTTAATTTTAGGACAATTTCCAAATTTTAAAATTAATTCTAATTTCGTTAGCGTAAGATAAACTTGCATACTGTGCGTTTAATATAACAACGTTAATAAGTAGATTAGGTATTTTAAAAAGTGGAGGGAGTTTATTAATCTCTTCTTTGACAAAAAGATCATATAATAAGCATATAATAAAAATGAAGATGCATCTAAAATGAACTAGCATATTACGGTAACGACATATAGAAATATTTTCAGTTTTGAAATCTTAATGAGAAAAACTTATTTTTGTCTTCTTTTGTGCCAAAGCTGCATAATGAGATCCTGTAGTATATTTAGCTTTCAAGGACAGTTTTACATCAAGACGATCCTTAATAAACTAAATATTTTTTTCCAGTTGTTTATAATAGAAGCAATTATCAGTAAACTAATACGATCAGATTTTGGTCAGTTTGTTACATTTCTTTATACCATAGCAATTAGCTAAAATTTGGACTGATACTAGTATCTTCAAAATTGGGAAAAGGTGATCCCTCGGATAGAAATCGTGTCTTTTGCCATTTTTGGTCTCCAAAATTATAACAAAGAAATTTTCCAATGTTCGTTGTCGTTATCTTCAAATTTATCATTTCTGGAATTATTATTTCTTGACCTTTAGTTAGTTATTTGATATTCATCTCAATTAAAGAAATATTACTTTTAAAGTATATTAGTAAGTTGTAAGTAAAATTTACGGAGATACTTGTTTGTTTATTTGATTTTGTTATTTGTTATTTTTGATTATGTTTTTGATAAATTTGATTATTTTTTTATTTCCATTACTTCTTTCAATTTTTCGTTTTAAGTGCAAGTTTTTTATGTTACAAAAAAATGCTGGCGTACATTTTTATGTTACAAAAAAATGCTGGTTGTTTTCGAAACATTTCGGTTATTTCTCAGAATTTTGACTAACTTTGAATTACTCTTACTTGCATCACAGATAGGGCAATGAAAAGTTACAATGGTATTTATTCTTGAAATGCACAAAATATGAAATAAACAAATATGTTTACGATTAAAATTTTTAATAGTTTGACACTTGAATAGAACAATAAAAGTGAATTTTGGATTCCAAATATGGTTTCAGTACTTCTGAAAAAACGCTCAAGATGGTGACATTCGAAGAATATGCATTCTGAAGTTTCTTGTAAGGACACCTGTTTGAACCTTTTATATGATAAGTGCGGGAGCATTTATAAAAAAATCCGAATTAATTATTTTTGCATAATAATTTATATATTTCGATTGTTGCTTACTTTATCATAAATAAAGGCTCTGGCATTTTAATTTTATTTAAATTCCTTGATTTAGTAGCGATCAGAATTACAAAACAGCTAAATTTGAAATTCAAAATAATTACTGGTTAATTGCTTAATGATATTATGAAAGATTGCATTTCTTCTTTCTCTTTGAAATAAAGGTTTAAGAAAATGAAATTTTGGACAAAATTATCTCTGGGGGAGAAAAAAGTCTGAAAGGTTTTAAATTATAATAGGTCGCCTAAAAAGATTTGTTAAGGTTTTTTTGTATTCTTGCTGAGCTCGTAGTCCTTTCAGTCAGCTGTCGTACTCGCTCCCGCTAAACCAATTTTATTTTTCTTTTGTCTTTTCTTCGCACTTACGTCAAACAATGCAACAGCAAAATCACAATATTTTAGAAAGCAACATAGCAGCATATATTTGGAATTCCCGATGCAGTGTTAATTTTTGGCATACATTTTTTGTTTCTTTTTTAGTTTTTCCTAAGTTCATCATACCAATATTCAGCTGTGTCAGTAAGATTGTTTACAAAACTTCTTATCCCAGAAGGGCTATCAATTTTGTTTTGGCACTTTGTGTTGGTTCACTATAAATGTCGATTCACTTTTCAAATTGTTGCTAATATATATTACAGCCCTATGTTATATTTAAAGAAATTAAATAATGAAGAATCTGCATAAATGTATGTATGTTTCTCGTATTGTGATAAAACAATGGTTCCTAGAGCTATCAAATTCTGAATAACGTACGTCCCCACCCGAATATGGGAATCGGGAAACCTTAATTTGGAATTTGAAATAAATTTGTTTTATTACCTATTTCATATTTTGTAACACTTCAACGAATTTTTGGTTAACAAACTGAAGGATTTCAAAACGAGCAATGGTAACGTTGTACAGAAAAATCATTTTTATCTCCAGCGCGTGAGACTGTGTATCGGAAATTCTAAAGATATGCTTAAATTAAACTTATTTCGAGATATTGCTCTTGAACTGAATTTTATGGTTTAAATGCGAAGAATATGATATTAATAAATAAAGGTAACACACAAAATGTTAAAAAAAAAAGCCTCCCAATCATTTGACCACAGCGGCAAAATCTAAAATCTTATAAAAAGGAAGGTATAAATTTCTTTGTAATTTAAATTTTTATTTTACTTTATTTTTAATTCTTTCATTGAGAACGTAAAAACGTCTTTGCATTTACGCCGCATAAAACTCAGTTCAACAGCAAAATAATGACATGTTTAAAAACAGCATATTTTTAGAATTTCCGATAGATACTTTGGTGCACTAGAGATAAAAACTTTTTATTCCGTATAGTAACTGTTTGTTTTGATATCATTTAGTTTGTTAATAAAAAATTCATTAAAGTTTTACAAAATATGAAATAAGTAATAAAAAATATAACGTCAGTCTATGAAAATATTTACATTTTTAATTAGACATATGTTGAATTAAATGCATTTTTATAGCTTAAATCAAACCGATTCAAAAGTAAGAGATGAATATTCTAATAACTGCATCTATTGCTTTCAATGAGCTTAGTTTGTTAATTCACGACAGACAGGTTCAGTTTAAAAGATAAATATTCTTTCATTTTGCCGAATGGCAACAGACTCCAGTGAAAAGTGAAACGACTCACTTATAGTAATTCTACGCAAAATCGCACTTCGAGACTAACAATATTTTGCGCGCTAAAAAATAACAGATTTATTAAATAGCGGGATTTTTTAATATTTAGTATCAGCCAATTTATTTAACATACTTTCATTAGTATATTAGATATTCGTAAAGAAGCCATAAAATTAATGGTTAATAAGCACATTTTTAGCGGAATATTCTGAAGTAAAAAAAAAAAAAAAGTCTACAAAATTTTTCACTAAACCGATTTAACTATCGTTTCTGTTCATCGCGAAGGACATAAAAAAGAGTTATAAAATCCTTTCAAATTTCCTAGGAAGATTCGAACAGTAACTTACCTTAAATGCCATCGAGATGTAGGTTTGAATGGTGAGTTGAAAGAGTTCTGCGAAAATGAGAACTAGATGGGACGCGGTTGGGAAGTTTAAGAGCAGAACGATCTTCGCGTGTTTTTATACTCTGCCGAATGGGCAAACGGTAGCGCGGTCTATCATTCCAATTTCTTCTGAGAGGATGTAAAAACGGGGAGAGGGGGAAAAGCTCGCACGCTTGATATGTAGCACGTGTCTGCAAAGAATAAAATTGAAACTAAAACAACGAGCCGTGTGGGGGTATCGACTATGAGGTGAGAAGGAGGCGACAAAATGTTTGTGATACTTTATGAAGGCGTGTTGGGCGGGGAAGGAGATAAAAAAAGAAATGGGAGAAAGAAAACGTGGCAGATAATTAGTGTAAAATTACATCTAGAGAAAGGAAAAAGGGGAGTGAGTAGAGTTTGCTCTTGCTCTGATCGATTGACTGAAAATCGCCCCTATTTGACATCTATCCCTTGTCCATATTAGAAGATAGTTTTATGCTGGGAAGATGGATTTCTCAGCCCGGTATTTTTTATTTTTTTTTAATTTTTAGATTTATTAATAAAATAACTAAAAATCATTATTAACCAGATATTTTAAATAGAAAACTGCTGTTTACAAAAAACTTAATTAGGCTAATCAATCAACCTTAAGTAATTTCGTTCAAACGGATTCTCCTTTCATTGTGGTAATTTAAATATACCCAATATTCATCTATTGTGATAACATTCTCCATTTTTGTTCGAATAATTGTTTCTCATTGAGAATTTTGCTGCGCGTTCTGCTTTCTGCGATGTATCGTGGGAAAAGATGATGCACATTACGTTTTTCCCTCTTTCAAGATTCAAATCAGCATTGATCACTTTCTTTACAGTTGACACTGAGCATTTTAATGATTATGCAGCTGCCCTTAGACTTCGTAGAATATATAGAATTTCTTTTAACATTAAGGCTATATAGTATTTCTCCCGCCTTCTTAGCACGCCTTCGTGTTATGGTGGTCAATACGCTCGACGCGTCTTCGAGATGTCCGTCTTTTGAGTCCCGGCAAGGGCATTGCTCATTTTTTTCTTCTCCACCATCAGGATTTGGCGATAGGCTCCCCTAAGCCCAAGTCGCCCTTTAAAAGGGGGAGTATATGAGGTATTTCACCCGCCTTCTTAGCATGCCTTCATAGGGGTCAGCATGCTCGACGTGTATTCGAGAGGTCCGTGGATCGAATCCCGGCGAGGGCATTGCTCACTTTTTACTTCTCCAGCATCGAAGTAATCTAATGTCTCTACAAGGATTTTACCTTTGAAACATTCAAAACGTTCCGTTTTTTCTTTGGATATGTAACTTGAACAATTTTTTTCCTTGAAGCCGAACTTTGACGTTTCTTTCCTTTCTTATTGATAATATTATCTATCATTGCTTTAGTTACCGAAAAACTATGGCTTTCACAGTATTTTTTAAAATTACTTCGGAAAGAGAACATAGTCTTCCGTCCATTGCTTAATTAAAATTTATACCAGTCTAAAATCAATTCTGATCGTGTCCTTAATTAATACTGCTCGAGAAGGCCAGTAGTAATGTAAATACGCGATATTTTTAACTCAAAGGAAATGCATTTCGCAGCTAACAGCAGTTTACAGATTCGAATTGCAAGAAATGCTTATATAATATTCATTATTAAACAAAGCAATGTAAAACAAATCAAAATAAAAAAAAATGAGTACTTAGGAGCATTGTTTTTTTCAACTGCGTAAATACAGGGTGGTTATAATTAAAGTGACCCTATTCAGACCTCTCTAGAAGCTGCTCTACTTATTGAATATTGGTGAAATTTTGTATATCTGTTCTATGGACTATGAGGAAACGACTTCTGCAATAAAACATAATTCGACATGAGCCCTTTTCGCAATCCCTTTAAACGACGATATTCATGCAATGCAGCTAAGCTATTACTGCCGTTCTGATAAACCAGTTTTACCAGTAAAGCTCGATTTTTCTTCTATAAAGGCATGATTAACGATGAGAAAGGCACGCAGATTGATTTTCTGACTCTGACTGCAAGTCTCTTTATGGTATTGACTAATTTGCATAAGGCATTTTTGAAAAATGCCATCTGGGGAGAAACATTTGAACTATTTTTGTTGCAGAAATCTTTTCCTATAGTCCCTGTAACGTATATAAAAAGTTTCATCAAAATCCGATAGGCAGATCGGATTCTACAGGGGTTTGAAAAGGGTCACTTTAATTTTAATTACCCTGTACCTAAGTGTAGAATCTTAAGATTCCTCGGAATACCTTTAAAGAAATATAACACTGCGAAATTAAATCACAGTAAGAACTCTAAATGTATTAACAAATGTGTATTACGGTATTAATAATACCAAATACTACATCAGCAATGCTATATTGCTTCCTTGCATTAGGGGAACCCAAAGTAGATCCTAAAGCAGTGTTAGCTCAGAAGGGGTATTAATCTCGAAACGGGATTTTGAGTTGAATTACTCTAAAAGGCTGAACCACTTTCAAACTATTGCCATCAAACTACTATTGCACTGTTTTATTTTAAAAGAAATTCAATAAAGGAGAATATGCGTGAATGTAGTTTCTCGCATTGTGAAAAAAAACGACTGTATCTAGAGCAGCAAATTTTGAGTACCGTAATCCTCCACCTGTACATGGGCACCCGCAAGTCCGAATTTTGAAATTTCTTTTATTATCTATTTCACATTTTGTAAAACATTAGCGAACTTTTAATTAACAAATTATAACGATTTCAAAGTGAGCAATGGCAATGCTATACAGAAAAAAAATATTTTTATCTCCGGCGCGCAAGACTATGTATTGGAAATTCAAAACATATCTGGTTTTTATATATTTTGTGATATTGCAGTTGAATTGAGTTTTATGTGGTTTAAGTGCAAAGAACATGATATTGAATAAATAAAGGTAGCACACAAAATGTTAAATAAACGCTCCTTTGGAGATAATAAAAAATCTGAAAGCTTTGAGACATTTTAAAAATTATTTAAAATGACAAATTGCATCTATTATAAATAAACGATTTCTTTAATGAAGGAAACTCAAAAAGAAACAAACCATGGTATGCTCGAGCATTTGATAAAAGGTTTCGAATCCTGTTCCTACTAAAAGTTCAGTGTTAAGTAAAAATTAAAAAAGTTGCCAAACTAAGTATTTATCGGTTAAATAGAAAGACTTACTTTACAGAAGATAAAATATGAAACTATTGCTTCATAACTTAAATCCTTACGCGGCGCTGTGAAAGAAAGAACTGTGAATGTTAACAACATTTGCAACATTTAAAGTAATATTTTACATCTGATTTTGATATCAAATTATGAGTATAATAATTAACCGCCATAACTATTAATAAAATAAATAACTATGCCTTATTATATAGATAGAACAATTTCAATGTATGAATTTACTTTTGGAGTTTTTCTAAAAATCATCAAAGCAAAGCATTTTAAAATTAAAACATAGTGCTGCAATTTACGATATCAGTATATATGGCAATAAATGTATTAAAAGATCAAATGATACCAAATTTAATAGAGATTTCTATGAAGTTCATAAGTGTAAATACTGTATTTATTTGTTTCTTTAAGAACTTCTTTCCCCTTTTCACTTTTTCCGAGAACGATCATTTTTCTCTTTTATTGATCTCATGTTTCTGGTTTCAGTTTTATTTCTAGAACATAAGTGTATAACGCTCATAATAAAGTTCATTCAAATTTCTGTGTTATATTAAAGACAAGAAATAAAAAGTAACAAATATTTACGCTATTTCAACGATTAGCTACGATAGTTATAATGCGCATATTTTTTTAGACCTTGATGTACTTCAAAGCCAGTTTCTTCAAAAAGAACAAAAGATGAGTAAAGACACAGCAAAAGGACAGAGAAGAAAAAATTTGTTGTGAAAAGCTACTTTCTTCGAATAAAAGTCGAAAACAAAAATTTCAGTCAATGTTAGTCACTAATACTCAAGAATAATGAAATTAGGAGTAACTAATGACAAAAGAAATTAAGAAATTGAGGCTTCTGAAGAAATTAGCAATCTATACTAAATTCCAGAAATTTAATTTAAATCTTGTGAAAATCTTGTAGAAAAATGCAAAATGTTTGTCTTTTTTAAATATAAAACAAGGTTTTTCAACTTTAAATTTTCCTCAAATATCAGAATATTAGGCTCCTTAAGATTACTTTTATTCAAAGAGTTTAGTACAAATCATATGTAAAATATCATTTCGAGAGATTAAAGTCACATTAAAGATAACGCCAGATGAGCAGAAAGAAATTGATCACTAATTGCAATTTGTAAAATTGCACAGCAAAAGGTAACAGCTGTAAATTACTCAAGGAGAAAGCAGAGATTAAGCAAATCCTCTTTAAAACAAAAATAAATCCCGTAAATTACCGCTATCATTCACAGAATAAACGAATTTATAGAATAAATAAAAAAACGCAGTACAACTAATTTTCTCTGAAATATAGTCTGGCTGAAGTCACTTAGGTTACGTTAAATAAGGTTATTTGAATATGACAAAGTACACGTGATCTGTCCACCTAAAGGAAATGATGTTCTCAAAGCTAAATTCTTAAGAGAAACGAGTTCGTATTCACATTACACATGGAGAAAAGTCAGGAAAACAAACCACGCAATCAGCTTGTTCGCTTTGAATCGAACTCCCAGTATTCAGCGTTTTTAACAAGTCGCCCACTCTTTATCAGAATGAAATCTCTCAGAACTAACTAGCATTTGAATGAATGCTGGCTGTCTGCACCATATTTATATGTAGTTGTTCCGTTTTCTAAAAGCTTCAGGCTCTTAGAGATTCGAAAAAGCGTTTTCCTGAAATTTCCAGAAAGTCGCCAAGTTGACGACAAATCGACAAGTGTTGTAAATCTATCGAAAATTTTCCCCTTTAACATAACTTTTGTCAGAGAACTTCTAACAAGTGGATAATCATTAGCTTTTGTTTATGAACTAAGGATATACTTATTTTTGTAAAATGTTTCGGATTCAGAATCATGTCTACATCTCTGTGCATGAAATAAGGCCCTTATATACAAAATACAGGGTCACAAATGTATTTAGATAAGAATAAACTCTTAA